CCTGCTGAGGGCAGAAATGTGAGCTCAGTGGAATTCATTCCTCCCTTTTTCAGAGGTCCTGCTTTTGAGCTTCATCCAGGACCTCACATTTGTTCTGATGCATGTTTGTCACAGGATATGGAACAGTAAGTCGTATGAATTCCTTATTATCTTGAAGATAACCTCAAAGATGATGAGATCTTGGTCTTGAAGATTGTGCAGTAAATGAGAAGGATCTTTCCTCTGGTTTGATAGTAATGTGTGTGAGCTGACACAGCCTTGTTGCCATGTTTGAGTGTTTTTTCTGTCTCAGAAATCAAAGCAAGATATTGAAGATGAGGGACATGCGACGTGTCAGAAAGATGGGATTGGTGGGAATGTCAAGTTGTGCCGCCTGCAGCCGCTCCTGGAAGTGCCCATCCGAGAGGCTGAGGCGCAACCCTTCGAGGTTCTCATGCAGTTTCTATACACGGATAAAATAAAATACCCTCGCAAAGGTAGGACAGCAGGATAAAAAAATACCAGGAACTGGGGAGCAAACATTTATTTTGATACAGAGCAAGATCAAGCATTTGCAGACGATCAATGCTGCTTCAAGCGCTTAATTATTTACCTGAGATTTAAGAAAAGCTGATCTCTATCAAAGCATACTAAAAGTGCTTTGATATTTCCTAGTTCTTTTCAAACATCAAGGAAAAGCAGGTTCTTGATCTTTCCAAAAGGTGCAAGCAGAACCAACCAACCAAACGAACAAAAATTTCATGGTATTTTGAACATCATGAGCGGCCTGCCTGGAAGGACCATGTATCCTGGGTTGGCTTATTTCCTTTTTCTGGTGTTGTTTTGATCCATTGCAAATTGAGCCCACACAGAAAGGCAGAGCAAGCCAGTATTTATCATCTCTTCAGAATGCCGATCCAAAGGAATGCCTCAAGAAAGGAACAATCCATTTGATGCATTCATTGAAGATCCCCGAGTTAAAAACACTTACGGGCTGGGAGGTAGTAGCCAGAGCGCTCTCGGCTCCCACACAGTAAATCGAACTCATGGCGGTGTTTGAGCGATGAGGCCCGTTGGGCTGTGGGGGTGGGACTGGATGGCCGGGGGGGTGGCCCCAGCTGGGGGGGCTGGCGAAGCTGCAGCCACGTGGCACAGGCGTGAAAAGTGGGGTACGGCTATCCTAATGCTGGAGGCTTTGCTTCAGTTTCAGTCCAGGATCTTTCCTTTCTATGGAAGGTAATTCTCAGGAAAATAGTAATTTGTATGCAGTTGTCCGAAGGCTTTCCCCGTGAGGTGCTTTCCCCATGAGGTGGCCTGTCTCAGAGCAAGCCTAATTAATGAGGATGAGAGAACCTTCTCATTGGTGTCTGCCGACATTGCCACATCCCACTCTCAGCCCGTTGTGCTCACTGCAGGACAGGATCAGGCCAAAGAAGGGATTATCACACTGTTCTCTTCCCTTTGTTATAGGCTTCCCAGGCAGCCTGCTGCCCTCCTCTCCAGCCCATCAAACGTTCTCCCTGGTGCTTACCTGACTGCTGGGACCCTCAGTGGCCCTGTCCTGACCATTTGTATTCCTAGTTCCTCCTCTCAGTTCAGAGGGCAGCACCTTGGGGACCCATCCAGAGGCTGAGCTAATAGAATTGGGCATGCTTATCAAAGGGGATTTTCCTGATTAGACACAGGGAAGGCACGTGACGTGCAAGAAGGCTTTTCTCTATCAAAAAGTCATCACAGCAGATGGCCAGAGATCTCCTGTGAGGAAAGCAAAGACTGTAGAGGATTATTCCTTGAGTTGGTGTCCCAGTAGCCTCATTGCAGTGGCCTACAAGGGTCCCCGCTGCCCCTCTCTTACTTCAGCCCTCTCTTCTAGACCAGCCTCAGATCTGTAATGGGCACAAACAGAGTGCCTTCGTAAGGGTGTGTCAAGATCAGGGAGCTGATTGCTAATACTGCTTAAAAACCAAGGACTTCCACAGAGCTGTTAGCAGCTGAGCACTTTGGAAGATCATGCTGCTAGCTTTGGAGCTTGTCAATGTTTTTAGAGACTTTAGCTTCTTTTGAGGGTTTTAAAAAATTGTGATCCAGGTTGTCACAAAATCTTTGTCCAAAAAGTCTTTTGGGGTGGCTCTTTCATGCCTCAATTTTGAAACTCCTTTTTTAGTATCAATTCAGATTTTGTCTAACCAGCAATGGAATTTTTTTCTCCATAAAAATACTCCGATCGCTGCCCGTTCTGCCACTCCGAATGCTCAAATAAAAAGAAACACTTTGAGAAAAGTTTCTCGTTTTGTTTTGTGAGCTCTCCAGCATTCTTCTACTTGTAATTTCAGGTCATGTGCAGGATGTGTTACTTATCATGGATGTATACAAACTAGCCTTAAACTTCAAGCTCTCTCGACTGGAACAGCTCTGCCTTCAATATATTGAAGCATCTGTAGATCTGCAGAATGTGCTCATTGTGTGTGAAAATGCTAACAAACTTCAGCTGGATCAGCTAAAGGTAATCACATTTTGCATACAAAGTAACTGGTAAGAAATTAAAATAAATAAAATCGACATAATGAATGCTTTGCAAAAGCTATCAACTTTTGCAAATTCAGTTCTTTCCTATAACTATAGTTGCTTGAGTTATGTTAGAGTGGATTGTCCTGCAGTTGCTCATGAACATTATGTAGGTTTTTTCCAATAAGTGTTTGATATTTTTGCATATCTGCCTGTAGGATGTAAAGGACAGAGTGACTTTGGCTCTTCCTCAGTTCACTCTCACTGCAGCCAGATGGAACCGGTGCATTTTCTGGTCCCACTGTTTTATACAGAGACTGCAAACAGGTTCTTTCACCTGGTCTGATGAAAAACTAAATTCTGTTTTCATGCCTTTGGAAAACACTCTACTGAAAAACAAAATGTGTCTGTGATTCTTTGTCTCTAGGTAGTGGGTCAAGGGCTTTTAGGCATTTGCTGAAAGTCATGACAGAGTCGATATGTGCAGGCTTCAGACCACGATTTGCTGTGATGGTCTGGTTCCCACCAACAGTGGCGAGAGCTGATGCTGCCTAAAGCTGCAGAGAAGCAGCTCCTTCACCCAACTCCAAGAGTCAGTGCAAGATCATGCAATGCCTGTTTGAGCAGCCTGTGCACATGAGTTGGCCACACAGCTGATGGTTGCAAGCAGAGTGAGGCTAGAGAAACCCAGCACACACCAGCACTTCCTCAGGCACTCTATACATTGGGTATGGGAAAGGAAAGGCATCCAGGAGGACAGCAGCAGAGTCAGCAGCAAGTACATAATGCTGGCACAGCCTTTGGTGCATGGGACCATGAAGCCTTTAGCTACCCAGAAGCTCAAGCAAGTATCTCAGCACTGGTGAATCTAGTGCCAATAATTTCAGATCAGCTTGCTACCTCCACCTGCCTTTGCTCCCAGCAGGGTGACAGGGGCTCTTCCACACAACTCCATTTGATCAGGATCACCCTGAGTTGGCATCCTGTCTTCTCAAGTGCGCGTTAGTCCTCATCGGTAGGTGCCATCTGCAGAAGGCTGCCCTTTCTGGCATCCTAGTCATTGTTTAAAACGTTTTACAGATGGGTCCTGGACAGATCCCTGCAGATCCGAGGTGAAATAACTTGGCAGAAGGTGGACAATAGTAATTATTCTTTGAATTAATTTTGTACTCGCCATATGGTGAGCTGGTATAGATTATATTTTTTGCTTATGAAAGTGTCCTGAGGGAAAGCCTTGGTTCGCACTGGCAAAATGAAGTGCCATTTTTTGGCCTTTTAACTGTTTAGCATTAAGTCTGGTTCATTTGTCACCTTTCTAACAGATTGATTTTTCTAGTGAGTTTGTTGTACAAGAGCTCTTTCAGACTGTTTGCAAGCTATGCAGAAAAGGTTAATGCAAAATGCACACAAGGAAACCCTGTAAACTATTTGTACCCTTAATGGATAGTGTTAAGAGTTAAGATCTCTTCACCCTTCAAATTAACTTTGGGTACCTAATTGTATAAAGAATTATTATGAGATAGCAGCCAATCTCAGTTGGCTCCATGAGGTTTTCAGCATCTCCTGAGATTCCTCTTTTAGAAAGCTTTGGAGCACTTGGATGGGAGACAATTAATCTTTTCTTTGTTACTATTTCTTAGTCAGGTTTTTCTAGATGCTTGGAATTGTCCTGAATTTCCTGTTAACTGTAATTTTGTTATTAATATTGGGTTTTTTTTAAGGAACATTGCCTGAACTTTGTGGTGAAGGAATCACATTTTAATCAGGTAATAATGATGAAGGAGTTTGAGCATCTTTCTTCATCCCTCATAGTGGAGATTGTACGGAGAAAACAGCAACCTCCTGTTCGAACACATTCCGATCAGCCACTTGACATCGGTAACTTTTATGCTTTATAAAGTAATTAGTTGTGCTGTTTTTGCATTGCTACGGGTTGGTTTAGTCTAGGAAACAGCCTAGGGAGTAGACCACTGCAGACCACCGATTCTTCCGTTGATGTAACTGTGCTTAGGCTGTTTCTCAGACTAAGACAGGGCATGCCGGTTCTTTTTCCAGTAAGCTTCAATCCGAACAGTATCCCCATCAAAATACGTGAAGAGTCTTGTTAAATATAGTTGTGTTCTTCTTGCAATAAAATATCCTGATTCTGTTCAGAGAGAGAAGAGGCAGAAGAAACATAAGATTATAAAGAATGGTTCAAAAAAAAAGGCAGTGGACATGCAGTTTAAGTGGAGTAGAAGGTAACAAAGCTGAGTGGGGGGTTTGCCTGCTCATAGGTTTTCACTGAAGAAGGAGTGAGAGTGGGGAAGAGGATCACGGCAGTAAGCCAGTGCTGGCAAGGTAGACCTTGTGAGAAGGGGTGGAGTGGGGAAACATGGAAAATTTGACCAAGAAAAAGAAAAGTTAATGGAAGAAAGGAAGAGAAAATAGGGAGGAGAAGACTTTTAGAAGATAAGTAACCTGTACTAATGGTCATTCTGTGGTTCTGCTGGAAGAAGATTTGATTTACGGTTCTGTTATGGAATACATCAAGGACTGATTTGGGACTAGTCTTATTCAAGATTTTATCATCTTGACACAGAAAAAGGAATTAATAATGAAATTTGTTGAGGCAAAGTTCAGAGGCATTGCTGATATTGATTTGGAATACTACACAAAAAGAATTGGAGGCTGGCGAGAAAGATGGAGAAGCCAGTCCTAGAAGGTCAAGTAGAAGCCTTTGGCTGGCATTTGTCCCAGGGAGAAGAGAGGCGCGCTGCCCGGGAAGATGGCATAGCCAGCTTCTGTAGCCAGAGCTGGAACAGTGCGAGAGACCCAAACGTCAAAAAATTGAAAGATGAACTTCTAAAATATGAGCGAATTTGGATCAGACTTGAATGTGCTCCATTTCTCAGTTATTGTGTATTTGCAAAAGTTAATTAAAACGTTGGATAAAAGAAGCCTTTATTGAGGATTTGGGAAAGCTTTTTTACATGAAGAGACAAAATTTTATATTCCTTGTGTTTGGAAATAATTAAGAGGGTGAGGGAACACCAGATTTCTTTACTTATGGAGAACACGTTTCAGTGTGTTTGCTGTCAGCAGTTTGAAAGCAGAGCTGCCAGGCTTGTTTCTGGGATGGGCAGTAATGGATTGCAGCGGGGAGGATGGAGCTCATTTTGCTCCACGATTATGAGGAAGGGCCTGCCTCCCACTTACCCAAGCGTCCCAAAGGAAAGAGGGGCTGGAGCTATAATTCAGCCATGTATTAGTTTGATAGCACCTGGTCACCTGGGACTATGATGTCTTTACGTATTTCACTACGTTAACTTTCAGGAACATCTTTAATTCAGGACATGAAGGCTTACCTAGAAGGAGCTGGGACTGAATTCTGTGATATCATCCTTCTCTTAGACGGCCACCCACGGCCAGCCCATAAAGCAATCCTAGCAGCACGCTCCAGGTGACTCAATGTTCACTAAAACTGTAACAAATACTGTATGTGTAAAATGCAGTGTTGTGCAATCTGTGGGTCACCTTGGGTTTTTTAGAAGATGGGAAGGAACTTTGTATCTGCATAAAGTATATAGGAGTATTTAGGTGCAGCTTTGCTCAGTGAGTGTAATAAGTCTTTAAGCAACAGTGATTAAATATTTTTTTCAATTTGATACACAGTAGGGAAAGGAGGAAATTAAAACTGCAGAGATTCTCTAGAGGATGTGTAAGAAGCTGCACTGCAAGACAAAGAATCTGTAAACTCACAGGAAGGGAAAAAGGGTGTAAAACATAAGGTGGTTTCAGTGAAGTGGAAAGCAACAGATGCCCACTGAGGTCAGAAAGAGTTTTCTGATGGTGAACATCCATTTTAAATCATGTGAAACTCAAGTCTCTTTCTCACTAGCTGATACTTAAGACTGGGTACGAATAAGCATAACAAAAAACGGTGCATAACAGAGACTAGATTGTTCCCATACTTTGTTGCAGCGACAAGTAGTTCACCCTTCTGAAGATGGGTGCTGTTCTCCCTCCTCAGCATGTGGGTGAAGTGGGTTTGTCCTTTGCTTGTGTGTTCTGTGTACCTGCACCTTTATGTTCCGCCAAACATTAAATGTTCACATAAAATTTCTAATTCAAATACTGTCACAATTTTTTTCCAGTCCCAGTAATAATATTCAGTATTAGTTACCGTGGTATTTTACCAGAAGCATTTCACAGCTCTTAACCCTGCATGATTGGCAGCCTGTAGATACCAAGGAAATTCATAATGCTTTAAGCTCTCTACTGGGCCTTATGCAAATTAGACAAAAATCAAAGCACCATGTGTCCTAATTTTCAAGAAACAGAGACAAATTTCAGGTAGTGCTGATGGAAATTAGGGGGATTATATTTGGAGTTCTCTCACAGGCAGGCATATATTAAACACCAATTTAGCAGTGGTTTTACCCAGATTGTCACCTGAATTTACATCTTTGAAAGCTGCAGTGCTTAATAGCAGCCTTTGAACAATACTGGATTAAACTATCTGCCTGCAGAATGTGTTACATCAGTTTTATTTCCTTTTCCAGTTACTTTGAAGCCATGTTCCGTTCCTTCATGCCAGAAGATGGGCAAGTGAATATTTCTATAGGTGAAATGGTTCCCAGCAAGCAAGCATTTGAATCTATGCTTAGATACATTTATTATGGAGAAGTAAACATGCCTCCTGAAGACTCCCTGTATCCTTAAGCCTAAAGGAATTGAAGTATCTGTCTAAAGTGCGTGTACAGCAGCTCACCTCCCTTTTGCTCTGGATTGCCAGGCACAACCTGGGAGGATTATTTGTCAGGATTGCATTAACAGGCACTGCTTTTAACTTCTGTCATTGATTTGTATTTACAGTCAGTGCTCTTACCTTTGCTTTATGTTTTTTTCCTTAATGAGATTAACAGCTACCTCTTTGCTGCACCTTACTATTATGGCTTCTCCAACAACAGACTGCAAGCCTATTGTAAACAGAATCTAGAAATGAATGTCACAGTGGAGAACGTACTCCAGGTAATTGTCCCCGAGCAGCTTTAACTGTCACTTGACTTAAATACAGGAAAACCAAAGGGTCTAGTCAAGTGAGTACCCCCAGTGCCAGGATCACTGAGTCAGTTCCCAACTGACATCCACTGAGACTGCACAAAGCCTTCTCATGACAGTGGCCCAGCATGGTTAACATGTACGCAGCAGCGCAGCCTTCAGCGACTTTATTTCCTTAGCTGCTTTTTGTGTCACTAGTGCTCCTGTGCCAAAGTGTTGAGCAGATATTGCTCAGTTGGCCAACGGGATGTTCCTCTTGAGCTCCTCGTCCCCCGTTGTAGACCAGTGTTTCTAAAGGGATTTTTAAGACGTGTGCTCAGCACTCAACTCCAAATGCTTTTTTGGTAGATGTTTGTACCAGGGCAAATGGTGATGTGCGGGTGACATCAGTCTTGTTTTATCAGTAATGCTGACAGGATCTGGCAATGAAGTTTAAGCTAACAAAAAATACAGTGATAAGAAAGCCTACAAAACCATCTACTAGGTAGGCAGAACAAACCCGCTGCAACATGAGCAGAATCAATTCCAGCGTTAACTGCTCTTGGCCCTTGCCTGTGCCAGTCTCACTGGGGCACTTCAGGGAAGCTGGCTCTGAAACAAATCTGCAGTTTCCTACTGATTATTTCCTGAGGACTCCACACATTTTAAATCCAAGACTTATTTTTTAATACTTCAGAAAAGATTCATGTTTGTAATGAAAAATGGAGATATTTCCCTAGCTTAGAGGAATTACCTCCTCTGAGTCAGAACAGTGTTTGTGCCTTGTACTCTGAGCCATGCAGAAGGAGAATCACATCGTTGCTTTTGCTCTAGATTTTAGAGGCAGCTGACAAGACCCAGGCCCTGGACATGAAGAGGCACTGCCTGCACATCATCGTTCACCAGTTCACCAAGGTTGGTTGCATCTTTTCTGGGCCTTTTGAGAGCTGCTGTCCTCTGTCACTGCGGTGGTTAAAGACACATTAATATAGGAATCCATTTCATTCTTTCTCATGTGAGACAGCTGAGAGCTGGCTTTGTATCACTGACACTCACTGACAAGTCTGCTAGGCATACTTTTTACACTAAACATAAACAAAAGACTAGAACAGCCTGGTCTGGAAATGTGAAGACCTTCCAAAACAGAAGTACACAGAACTGCTTCCATTTCCACTTGTTCTGGCTGTTAATTTTGTGCCATGCCATCCTTGGGTTCTCACGTGTATAGCAAGATAAGATTGTTACGTATTGAGGGCACAAATCTCTCACTAGCAGTTACGAATATGCTGTTCATATTTCTCTTGAAGTATTCTCTGTCATAGATATTATATTGTCACGTGCTCAAAAGGCAAATTACCATGCCCTGGCTGAGCTTTCTGTAGTTTCCATGTTTTGACCTGTGGGATGATGCATTAGTCATAGGAAAGGTCAGGAGCCTGATGTGCTGATATTCCTGTCCTCACTCAAGAGAATGGCATTGTTATTTAGTTGTTCCTATGAGACACGATCCCTCCATGAGAGTTTCCCAGCCTGTCACCAGTTTGTTGCACAACTATTAGCATTGCTGGAATTGATAGATAAATCTTAGGAATAGGGATTTCTGGATACTACACATTTATTGATAATAATTCCCTAGTTAGTATTCAAGTAGCTCTCTATCTTTGTATATTAATCTCACAATACTCCCACTGCTGCCAATGGGGAAGGAAGGCACCGCTCAGTCCAGTTTATATCTAGATACGAGACAGAGAGAGGTATTCAGACTCTTCATTAAATACCTAAGTTGCCCAAGTGTAATGCATTTTATATTCAGAAATAACTGAAAATGCATAAAAAAGCTTTGAGTGTGGAGCCAGCATCCAGGAATCACTCTTGCAGTGGAGTCCCCAGCGGGAGGTTACAACCCCTGGCTTCATCTTGCGGTGTTGTATTCTGGCCTCACAAATCCTGCAGAGTGGCCCAACTTCAGCAGGGGATGGAGGACGGTCCCGCGCGGGTTACAGGATAGCCTGGTGGCTGGGACATCTCGGGTTTGGCGTCAATGCATTACAGTCCCTGAGAGCTGAAATCTCACAGTCTCAACTTCCCAGTGGAGGCCACAGGAAGATAAACAGGTTGGCACGATTCTCACCAGAACATACTGGGGGGAAATGAACATTGCGACATTTCAGAAGAGATTTGAACTGAAGGGCATTACTCAATTGTACTCCACTAACCAGAATATGTAGAAATGTTTTCTATTTAAACTGTTAACTGTTAGAACAGTTTTCGTCCAAATGTGGCTGGAAGACTGTCAAGCAGATGTGTGCAAAGAAATCTTAATTATGCAATGTTTTTCTTTGGCCTGAGAGGCTTCAGTGTGTGATTTTTGGCCCGGCGCTGGGTGACTCTATGTGTGGCTGGGCACGAAGGCTTGCCATTCTGCTCCCTGGCAAGCCACAGGCTCTGAAGGGGGTTTTGTTCTAGCTGCACAAGCCTGGTGGGTCATCAAGGCTTAGGCAGGCTGGGTGGATGACCGTTGGGATCTCCTGTTCTTCCAGCTTGATTAACACTATTCTTGGTTCGGACTGTTAAGGAGTTTTCCCCACAGCAAGAACACTAACTGAAGAGCTGCGCCCAGAGGTTTGGTAGTTTGGGCAACATGTTTTTAGTCTCTTGTGTGTCAGTATTGTGCAAAAGCCGTAATAAAACTGCTGTTCTGAAGTGTTTGTACTGACACCCTGATCTGTTCCTCCACAGTGCGTGCCTCGGTGCAGGGGCAGCATTCCCACCAGTGTTCAAGGGTTCTCTTTCCTTCCCATTTCTCGCGGACCCTTATTTTGGGGATATTACTTCAAGCACATGTCCTGAGCTCCTTCTGAAAGCATACTCAGCCATTTCCTTCCTGGGTTTCAAAAGATGCTCAGGACATCTTTATTCTTTATCACAGTTGAGTGTCTTAGAGTGAGGTAATATCTTTTATTAGATCAGTTAATACAGGTTGGGTAAGTGGGCAGGCTTCTAGGCAGAGTCTGCCTTCAAGGATGGGCATGTATGTTAATAACTCTAGAAAGAGGGATTACTGGCTTGTTACTGTGAGGTTGTGGAGAAGGAAGGAATGTGTAGAGCTCCTTTTTGATAACAGTTGAGCTTCCGAACAGCCTAAGAGCTTAAAGTTTGTTGCAGATAGATTCTCATATATCTGACGTGGCAAAGGTTTTTGTTGGCTGGTGCTCCAGTGACCTGCTTTGACTGTAGGAGGCACGCCCGCAAAACCGGCATGGACACTAAGCACGACGTCTTCTTAGGAGCACACAGGAGCGAAGAGATCAGGTCCTGAGTCACGTTCTCAGTAGAAACACACAGACTTCAAAGTTCAGGGCTGTGCTGGTGCCCAACTTTGCTTTTTTAGGAGAGTGCTTAGCTGGCATCCATTAGCAGTAGAGTTGTCAATATAAACAGCAATTACACTCCTTTCTCAGAGAGGCAGTGCTGGGGTCAGCATTTCTGCTGTTCTCCATGCTCATCCCCTCCAAGCAGCAGCTGGAATGGGGCTATAAGCACAGGACGTCATGACTGGAGCCCCCGTGGGCCGTTCTCTGCAGCCCAGCTACACGACTGTGATTTCACGCCGTACGTGCCCAGCCTTTGTCTTGCCTGACCTGCCTGTTTCACGTGGGGTGGCAGGGGTATAATGGTGCTACATCCACTATGATTTGGGGAGGGTTTTAATTTCTTTCTGTTTTTTCTGTTCTGTTTTTCTTTTCCTTGAAGGTCTCCAAGTTGCCAAATCTCCGCTCCCTAAGTCAGCTACTCCTTCTTGACATCATAGAGTCGTTAGCTAACCACATATCAGACAAGCAGTGCGCAGAGCTGGGCTCAGACATATGACATGCTTTGGTAATCGAACTTTTCATTTGTTCCTCAAAAAAAGGAGCACTTTACGGCTGACTCTCTTTTTACCATTCCATACTGAGCTGCTCAGAGTGTCTACACAATATAGCAGGCGGCCAAGAGGAGCACGGACAGCTGACTTGCTCTCCCGTGGATGTGCTCGGTTTGTACCTTTGTGGAGGAGGGTTTGGTCTCTGTTACACAAATGTAAAATTGAAACCATTACAGGAATGAATTTATTCCACATGGTTTTGGGAGTTCAGAATCAAGCCCATTATTACTTTCATACTGTAAAATAAAGCAGTCATGAGTAAGAGAGTCATTAATACTTTGAAACACAATATTTAAAGAACCCTATTTAAAGAACTCAGCTGACACAGCCAGGGGCTGTAAGTGGAAGTCAGTGAAAACAAAACTGGAAATAAGAGCGTTGTGTTCACAGTGAGGCTGACAATTGGACCAGAATGTAGTGACTTTTCAGAGACTCTTCATGGCGTGGATTAAAAGATAAGCGCTTTTGCAACTGCCTTGATTGGTGGGCTGCAGGAAGTCCAGACCTGTGCTCTGCAGCAGGTCAGACTAGAAGATTACAGTGGTCCTTTTGACCATCAGATCCATTAATCCTGTCTCACTAAGGCTTCCTAAATCAATTTATTAATAAAGAGTTAACATCTCCTGGCATTTCATGATTGACTTGGCTTTCATTTTGGAAAAAATTAAGCAAAAAGAGCTCTGAGCTTGATGAAGGTCACTTTTTGTTAAAAATAAGTGTGCTACATCTTGTTACTAATTTTATGCTGAAGTGTCTTCATTAGTCGTTGCTTTTGGAGGAAGGTGAAGGAAGGCAGAGAGCCCTTCCCAGCCAGTTCAGAAGCAGCCACTGTTCCCTCCCAGTTGCAGCTCCCCAGCTCCCCGCCGTGCTGGATGCTTCCCACACCGCAGAGGGGAGAGGAGCTTTACTTCTCCCTGGCTGCTGAGTCATGGAGCTTGGTTGGGGAGCATCGGAGATCAGCTGGTGTTGGTGAAACATCTGCTGGCAGAACTGCCCCCAGGGCCCACAGCCACCAAGGCAGCCCAGAGGAGGGAGTGGCCCAGAGGCTGAGAATCAAAATCTTGTCCTGCCTTGAGCTGCACCAGTTTGCAGAGGCGAAGCAGACGGCAGCGCTGCCGTGGTGCTGCTCTCTGCTTGGCTTTTTGGAATGGCAAAAGCTGGCTTGACCAGGCGGTGGAAGATCCCTCCTGGGAAGCGCAGCTGCCCAGCTCCTGTGTTTCCACCCTTGCAGCCACAATTTTTAATTCAGGCCAGTAGTGTTCCTGGAGCAATGCGAGTTGTGAGCTGGTCAGCATCCCGTAGCATGACATGCACATGCGTGCTTTGGTGTGCTGAGAGTGCCACAGTCTCTGTGCCATGGAGAGCGTGTTGTTTCATTTAATCCAAGGGACTTGCTTTAGGCACCACTCGATCTGTCTCCCAGCTGACGGCTGGCTCAGGTGAGTCACACCGGCAGTGCAGATGCATCTGAGGGCCAAGGGCTCATTTTGAACTGTAGGGATTACTTCCAGATGCCTCACAGGCAATGACGTCTCTTGTCAGAGGTCATGTCAGCTGTGCTGACCATCTGCATGTTCCCTGGGAAACCAGAAGATCTGCAAATGGGGAAGGGTTATATGCTACAACTTGTAAGAATACTGCAAGTTATTCTCAGCAATGCTGAATCCACTAGAGGACACGTTTCCAAACATGCACAGCCCTCAGTAAGGAAGAACAGACTGATTTCAACCCTGCCATAACCATCCCATTTGACCCCATTTTCTCAAGCTATTTGGAGCTTATTCCTGAGCCCAACAGCAAGGAAATGCGCTGTCTCTGCACCCTCTGAGCCGGGGCGCTGCAGGCATCCTTTCTTTGGAGGTGGTTTTGGCTTAGTCCAGGCTCTAGTGACTGTAGCGCTCGGTCAGAGTTGCATCGCATCGGTGGGCTTTAATGCCTGAAAAACTGTGGTCAGCGCCGCTGTTACGTTGTCGCTGTGATTTGCCTCTGGGCTGCTGTTGTGCAGGGTGCCAGGAGCACACACCCTTCCAAGAGAGGAGCCAGGGACCTGCCCTGTGGGCAAAGCTGACCCCCTTCAGCCTGAGCTGTCCCACACACACCTGGGAGCACGGTGGGGGCTGCAGTGGTTTGGGCCATGTGGGGCTGGGCTGGGTCTCAGGAGAAAGAGGCAAGGGAAGTGCCAGGGCTGCCAGGGTGGAATGGGCCATCCTTCCCGAAGGATCAGGCGATGCACGGCCCAGAAGGGACGGCCCTGCATA